GCCTTCTTCAGGCAAAGAATGTTGTTCAATAATGAATTTGCTTTAAAATAAGAAAAATGTAGTTACCTGTAAGTAATACTTTTTAAAAGCAATGTGAAGTAAACCCACATATCAGGAGGCTGCAAAAATCTCAAAGGGGTCTGAGATTTGTTTTTTAGCACAATCCTAAAAAAAACTCTGGGAGGCAAGGTCTCTTAAAAATAGAAATCTTAAAAATCAGAAGAATGCTACCCACTTACACTCTTATATTCTGCAGATGGCACTGACTGGTGTTTTGAAATACAATGCCTCCAGGAATAAGAAGGAAAAGAAATGTTAATGTGTTTTGCTTGCCTCTGAATTCCATTTGCTTTCTCCAGACTATATTAAATGGTTAAAATAAGTATAGAAACAGTTTTCATACAGAAATAAAAGAAAGCTTCTTGGATGAGAATGGGAAGGATACATATAAAAGTTAAATATTTGAAATTCTTTCTTTTTTTTTTTTGAGGCAGAGTATGGCTCTGTCGCCCCACATAGACACTTCATCCCTGAATACTATAGCGTGTATCTCCTGAAAAAATGAGGATTTTCTACGTAATCAAAATCCTATTATCATACCCAAGAAATTTATCAGGGATACAATAATCTTATGTAATCTATGGTTCATATTTGAATTTCCTTAATTGTCTTCAGTTTTTCCTTTCTAGCTAGACCTGTTCCTATACGTTTGACTTGTTTTTTAAAACTTTTAAAAGGTTGTTTTGTTTTGTTTTTAACAGCCCCAGCTAATTATCTTGTGGAATGCCCCATAGTCTGGACATGGCTAAGGTACTGCCCATCAGATCCTGTCAGTAAGCATCATGTCATTTTGTCCCATTATTGGTGATGCTAAATTTAATGACAACGCACACACTTTGACCTCGCCTTATTCTTTACGGACTTGTAGTACTGTTACAGTGATAGGGGCACTGCAGCGCTAAAACAACTGCAGTAGCCAAAACAACCCACATGCTCATCAGTAGGTGCATGAATAAGTAGACTGCAGTGTAGACAGAAATGGGAATATTGTTCAGCCATATAAAGGAATGAAGTTCTGATACATGCTGCGACATGGATGAACCTCGAAAACTTGATGTTAAGCAAAAGTCTACAAAAGGTCGTGTGTTGTGCCATTCCATTTATGTGAAATATCCACAGTAGATAACAGAATGCAGATTGGTGGTGGCTAGGGGCAAAGGGGACAGGGATTGGGGAATAACTGCTTACTTATTTTGAAATAATGGCAGTGTTTGGGAGCTAGATAGAAGTGGTATTTGCACAACATTGCGAATTAAATGCCACCGGACTGTTCTCTGTAAAATCGTTGATTTTATGTTATGTGAATTTCACTTCAGTAAAAAAAAAAAACATTGAGTGAGGGCAGCTTCCTCAACAATGTGCAGAAAATAGAATCTATAGGAGTTATGTGAAAATAGAGTATAAGTGATAGGGGACTGAGCTAAAATCAAGCCTTCAATTCAATTTGGTTTGTGAATCTAGACAATTTAAAATGGTATCAGTATCAGTTTTGAGAGCTACACAGTGGGTTGCTGTGGACTTTCATATCTTCCTCTTTGAACTCCAATTTAGAGGAACCAAGTTACCTTGGATCGCTTAGTGAGATAAAAATAGAGGTTATCTAGTAACCTAGTTTTTATAATGTTTTCTTCTTTCAATCCAAATTAGAATCAAGGGATTTAAAAAAGCTATTTTGGTGCTGCTTATGATATGAAACGAAAATGTGTACAATGTGCAGAGTAGGAATTTAAATTAGAATAACTTCTGTAGATAGCAAGTTATTAAAGTACATCAAATGACAAAGGTTTTTCTGCTTAGTGATCTAGTATTTTACCTCTTGCCCTGTGAAAATAAATCAAAATGTGGAGAAACTTTATATAAGACTACATTTATAGAACAAATTTTATAAAAATTTGTTAGAAGCATAAATGTTCAAAATTAACAGAATGGCTGAATTGGCACTGACAATCAATGGAATGTTGATCAGTCATTAAAAAGAACATTTATAAAGAGGCTATAATATCAAGCAGCTAATGTGAGATAATCCTAAGTGATGAAAAATAGAATTTTTAAGAAGTATGATGAGCTTGGAGCAGTGGCTCACACCTATAATCCCAGCTCCTAAGGAGGCTAAGGTAGGAGGATCGCTTGAGTCCAGAAGTTCAAGGCTAGCCTGGGCAACATAGCAAAATCCTGTCAAAAGACTAAAAGGAAAATGTTAACAACTTTTGTTGAGTGACAGGAATATTGCTGATATTCTGTCTGCTTCTACTTTTGGTATTCTCCAAATGTATAATAGTAAACAAAATTACTATAACAGTGGCTTGCATTTGTCGAGCACTAGCTCTGTGCATCCTTATTCATTCCCTCAGCAGCCTTTGGAAACAGGAGCTGTCATCAGCCCATTTCACAGGTAGAGGAATGGGGGCTCAAGAGATACAAGAACTTGCCTCATATCAGGCAGATTCCAACATAACAGTCCCATTCCAGACCCACGTCTTAATCATCATACATGCAAACCATAATGAGCACTAAAGGAATATGCAATGTGTATTCAACTAAGTATGTGCACATTGAATTAGTAGCTTGGGGACTATTTCTGGATCTGTTTTTGGCCATTCTGTAATTGAAAGTAAGTCAGTTTACTTTTGGTCTCAGTTTTTCATCTTTGTGGTAAGGAAAACAAAACCTCCCATTTACCTGATTCTTTATGCTTATGAATCTGCTTATGCATGTGTAATAAATATGTGTACTTCTACAGTAGTATTACCATTAGTTGGAGGATAGTGTGGTTTGCTGAAAAAAGTGCATAGGTTTGGGGATTAGGCAAATCCAGGTTCAAATCCATAGGATACTCAAATTCCCTGAGCCTCAGTTTCCACAATTTGTAAAATGGGGCCAGTAATGTGTACCTTGAGGATTACTACAAGGAGTAAATGAGATTCCTTATGTAAAGCGAAGGAGGATGACCACTACTCAACCATGCCTTCCCTTCCCTGCTTCACCTTAGTTCACCAGATCTAGCTTCAAGTGCAAAAGAATGAAGCCTATGTATGTTTCTTGTAAGTTTTTTGCACATCTTATTAAAATAAACAGAAACTAACCAATGGTGTTAAATTATCAGCACTCAGACCTGGATAGAGGGAAACAGATGAAGCAAAATAGAATGAGCCTTTTAGGAATGAGGGCAGAGGGCGTACTTCTGGCCTTGCTCTGGACTCGTGGAAACTTTCTTGGCAGTTCCAAGATGCCACAGAACACCTCCCAGAGGACACATACTTTCATAACATTTCATCCACTCTTAACCTTTAACCACTCTTGGAGAGCAGCAAGTCAGTCTCCTGACTAGGTTCAATTTTATAATTGAGTTAAATCCATACTGGGAAATTTACTGATTTATATGTATCAAGAAATGTAAATAAATGCTCTATTTTTGGCCAAGCATATATATCTCTGTATATATACATATATCTTAATAATAAATCAAGATGCTATTTCTTAGGTACCCTGATGGATCATTTGGGGACAGAGTTCTTTTTAACAAAGTTGATCTGCAGTGAATAAGAGTTTGGGGACTTATGTGAGCCCTAGATTGGAGACTGCAGTGCATCCTAGAAGAGAAAGTAGCAACGGCACTCCTTAAAGCCCTTGGTGCAAGCCCGCTCCTGTGGATTGCTCGAGGTCAGGAGCTCAAGACTAGCCTGAGCAAGAGCAAGGCCCCGTCTCTACTAAAAATTGAAAGAAATTATCTGGACAATTAAAAATATAAAGAAAAACTTAGCTGGGCATGGTAGTGCATGCCTGTAGTCCCAGCTACTCAGGAGGCTGAGGCAGAAGGATTGCTTGAGCCCAGGAGTTTGAGGTTGCTGTGAGCTAGGCTGATACCATGGCAGTTTAGCCCGGGAAACAGAGTGAGACTCTGTCTCAAAAAAAAGAAAAAAATAGCCATCTCTACACTTCGGTGGCAAAAATATTTAATAGAAAGAATTCTTCAGGCTGGGTGCATTCTCTTTTTTTTTTGTTGTTGATGTACTTCTCTTTTTATAAATATTTTTACTGTAATATATAATATAGACATCTGAATAATGTATACCTTAGCTTAATACGTTGCTTGAAAGTGACTTTTTTTTTTGAAACAGTCTCACTCTCTTGCCCTGGTAGAGTGCAGTGGTATCATCATAGCTCACAGCAACCTCAAACTCCTGGGCTCAAGGGATCCTCCTGCCTCAGCTTCCCCAGTAGCTGGGACTATAGGTGCCCACCACGATGCCCAGCTGATTTTTATATTTTTAGTAGAGACAAGGTCTCAATTTTGCTTAGGCTGGTCTTGAACTCCTGAGCTCAAGTGATCCTCCCTCCTGCCTTGGGCTCTCAGAGTGTTAGAATTATAGGCATGAGCCACTGTACTCAGCCAAAAGTGAATATTCTCGTCATAACTGCCCAAGTCAGATTTTGTCAATTTTTGCCCTATGTACTTTGAAGCTATGTTATTAGATACAAAAATAATTAGGGGCTGGGCTCATGCCTGTAATCCTAGCACTCTGGGAGGCCGGGGCGGTAGGATCGCTCAAGGTCAGGAGTTCGAAACCAGCCTGAGCAAGAGCGAGACCCCATCTCTACTATAAATGGAAAGAAATTAATTGGCCAACTAATATATATGGAAAAAATTATCCAGGCATGGTGGTGCATGCTTGTAGTCTCAGCTACTCAGGAGGCTGAGGCAGCAGGATTGCTTGAGCCCAGGAGTTTGAGGTTGCTGTGAGCTAGGCTGATGCCACGGCACTCAGTCTAGCCTCGGCAACAAAGTGAAACTCTGTCTCAAAAAAAAAAAAAAAAAATATATATATATATATATATACACTTTATATGTATCAAATCCCCCAACCAAGAGCCAATGATTGTACTGCCGTGTGTGGACGCTAACTGACCCTGATTCCATGAGGCCTTTCCCTTTCTTACAGCGGAGGTGTGCGTTGGAGTCGTTGTGGTATGGATCATATACAACTATTGGTTCCTTTACGTCCCTTATCTGACATGGCTTTACTTTGACTGGCGGACCCCAGAGCAAGGAGGCAGGAGATCCAACTGGGTCAGAAATTGGACTGTTTGGAGGTACTTTAAGGACTATTTTCCAATTCATGTGAGTATAATTGTTTTATAAAGTTATATTATTTTGAATTGGGAGAAAAGTGGAAATTTGTTTTCATCCCATGTATCTCAAGCTTTTCCCTTTTCAGAAGGAAGTCTTTGGTCTGTTTTGTGCTGCTTTAACAGGATACCAGAGACTGGGTAATTTATAAGGAAAAGAAATTTATTTTTCCCAGTTCTGGAAGCTAGAAAAGACCAAAATTAAGTTGCTGGCATGTGGCAAGAGCCGCCTTGCTGCACCATCCAGCGGCAGAAGGTGGGAGGGCGAGAGGGGGCCAAAGTCTTCTTTCTGTGAGGATGCTGGTCCTGAGATGACGGACCCACGGCCCTGATGATGGCATTGACCCGTTCAGTCTGTCTCCATGGCCCAACTGCCTCTCATTAGGCCCTGCTTCCCAACACTGTTGCATTTTAACACACACATTTTGGGGGACACATTCAACCATAGCAGGGATAAAGCCTGCAATTTGTTTCAAGTCACTAGAGGAATTCTAAGCTGAATTTTCAAAATTTACAAGGGTGTGTGTCTGAAAGGATCTAGGCTCACAGAACAGTTTAGAAATCTGCAAACAGCCTCAACCCAGGACACTAAAGCGAGTCACATGTTCCATTTCCCCTGACATAAAAACTAATTCTTTTGTTTTTCATTTGAAACTAATAAGAGAACTTTTTATTTATTTTATTTTTTTATCACAATATGAATGTGCTGTAGCTCATCAAAACTGAGGATTTGGATCCGAGTCACAACTATATATTTGGGTTTCACCCTCACGGAGTAATTGTGACTGGAGCCTTTGGAAATTTTTGTACGAATTATTCAGACTTCGAGAAGCTGTTTCCTGGCTTTACCGCCTATCTTCATGTGCTCCCGTTTTGGTTCCGATGCCCTTTCTTCCGAGAATATCTGATGAGTTATGGTAAGTGAGGGCAGGTCGCTATTTCCACAGTGCTTTGGGTGGCAGGAACACATAGAACATTCCCTCCCAGCCCCGCTTGGGTTTATAGTCTCGTAGAGTAAAACCCCATGTCCTCATCCCTATCTCACACTTCATATGTAAGTGCCAGGAAGACATAGACTGTGTCTTTTTCTCTGTTCCATCCCAAATAACTAGCATGGTTCCTGGAACACAGAAGTGTATAATAGTAGTAAATACTAACTCAATGAAAGAATAAATTAATGAATGAATTTTGTATATCCAGCTATGGAAGAAAAAAAATCACGGATCAAATAAGCGATAAATCATATCCTTGAAGAAGCACTTTGCATGCTTTGATGAATATTATTATTATTATTACTATTATTATTATTTTTGAGTCAGAGTCTTATTCTGTTGCCTGGGCTAGAGTGCCGTGGCATCAACCTAGATCACAGCAACCTCAAACTCCTGGGTTCAAGCAATCCTGCTGCCTCAACCTCCCGAGTAGCTATGACTACAGGCATGCGCCACCATGCCCGGTTAACTTTTTCTATATATTTTTAGTTGTCCAATTAATTTCTTTCTATTTATAGTAGAGACGGGGTCTCACTCTTGCTCAGGCTGGTTTCAAACTCCTGACCTTGAGCAATCGGCCTGCCTCGGCCTCCCAGAGAGCTAGGATTACAGGCGTGAGCCACCGCGCCCAGCTGCTTTGAAGAATATTAGAAATGGAAAATATCCTCCAGGTGTCTTGAAATAACGGCAGTGACATGAACAAAACATATTCAACTTGCGTCTTTTTCTTCCCAGGTTAAATGTAACTTGGTTTAGAAGTAAGAGGCCATTCTACTCTGCTACTCTAAACCAGTGGAAGACCCTTTGATTAGTGAAACCATAATTCTACAAATTCTGGGAATGAGATTAATGTGAAATGCTATAAAGATTGTGTACAGAGGCTAAGCTTTTGTTGATAGTTCTCACTTCAACGTAGGAGGCCCAACTTGTTTGGTTTTTCAGCTTAACCAACTTGTTGATGAATCATGAACTACACACAGTAACTTTTAAAGTGCTTTACATTTACAAGCATTGTATAGATTAATTATTGTTTTTACACTTCTTAGATGTAAAGAAAAGTAGCTAGACTCTTTGAAGAATTTTAATTTCAGGATCAATAAGTAGCATGGTCATAGAATTTTCCATTCTGGCATTCTCCCAGATTTTTATTCCTCCCCATTAATTTCTCAAGTGACTATCATTATTATATACTTGGTAGGAAGTCACTCAGCACCAAAGGACCAGGATCCATGGCTGAGTGTTCCAGTCCTGTGTCTGTTTCTGGACCCATAAACAGAACTCAGTCCGGCCTGGGCTAGAGGACACACTAGAGGGCGCACTAAACCCTCCAAACTACCGAAAGATCTGGCGTGAGCCCTCCAGAGGTGCCTGTCCCACCTTAACTACCAGAGCGGGGGAAGGGTGAAATCTCTTCCCCTCCTTGTTTTGCATACATTAGGTTAGAGTTTTATAAAAAGAAGAAAATTAAGGGGAAATTTAAAAAATTTCATAAAAACCAGAGAAATCTATTTGCAGTATACTGTTTGCTGATTCGTGGTATAGCCATAGGTGAGTTTAAATAGCGGAGTTGGCAAGTGTGGCAAATTCATGGCACAAAGCTATGGGTACCTCCCTCTCTGCACCGTGTCAGACACAAATACTCCATTTTAGATTCTTTCTCCATACAGTGTCCCACAGTCACTTCCATTTTCTACAGTAGGCATTTGAGATGAAAACTGTCTGCCATCACCAGTTTAAGACATCATGAATTCTTTTCCTTCGCTACAACCTGTATTCTTAAATAAGTATGTAAGAATAAGTATTCTTATTCTTATTTAAGAATACTTGAACTTGTAGCCAGTGGAACTTTAGACTGTCGTTGTCTCTAAGTCTAGAAGGTTCTCAATGACTCCCAGAACCAGCTTCCTAGGACAGCCCTTGGTCCAAGCCAGCTCCTGTAATCTGCATCTGCCTTAGTGGCTGTCTCTCTGGATGTAAAATACTGACAGAAGTGTGCCCCAGACCTCACATACCATGTTACCCCAAAAATGAGACCTACCCATAAAATAAGCCCTAGCAGGATTCCTAAGCATTTGTGCAATAGAAGCCCTACCCCCAAAATAAGACCTAGTGATGGGCGTGGCTATGCAGCATATCTTCACAACCCATGCATTTTGTCGCAGAGCGGTAAAGATGACGACGAGCAGCCCTTCTCATCTGCCCCATGAGAGCTCTATTGCTCGACATGAGAGATTGGGGCCAATGGTTCTAAAGGAAATAGACTCGCAAGAAATTCAAGATGGAATTCTGGGTTTGGAGAGTTCTGATGATGTTCCAGAAGAAGACACGACTTAACTATATTTGAATAAATGTAGATTGTTGTACTGTACTTTAAAAAAAACCAACACATCCCCTGAAAATAAGGCCTCGGGTGTCTTCTTGAGGAAAAATAAATATAAGACCCTGTCTTATTTTCGGGGAAACACGGTAGTAAGGAACTGGTAAGTCTTCAGAGGTCCTTTCTGACAGCTGTCTGTTTTGCCCTTACCCATGAGGTTTCTGTGGCTATAAGTTTTTAAAAATCCCACCTCCACCCCATTCCTCTTGACCCATTTTGGTGTGTCTGTACTCACCAGATGTCAGCTGGGGCAGACAGTATTTCAAGGCTCATGCTCCTTTCTGTCTACCCATTAAGGCTGGGCAAGTAGCAGGGATCCCATCACAACAGTCTTCATACCACGCAGGGGACTTTAGATTTTATCTTGTAGATAAGCCACAGGAAACTTGTGAGGGATTTTAAGCAAAGGAAGGACCTGCTTGGGTTTTTCACGTTAGAAAGATTTCAGGTAGCAGCTTGGAGAGAGGTAGTAGGGAGGTGAGCCTGGGCACTGTCATGATGGAAGGGCCTGTTGAGTGATCAAGGGAGAGGTGACAAGGGCTAAACTAGCACAGTGGCTATGACAGTGGACATCTAGAAGAGGAGATCAAAATGAAAAATATTTGATAGGGTCAACAAGATTTAGTGATTGATGTGTCCTCATCAAGACAGCAACTGTACTTTGTCATTACTATTGGCATCTAGCACAACGTCTGGCCTGTAGCAGGTACTCAGTGAATGCTTTTGAATGAATGAATAAGTGACCAGTCAACGTGGTGGCTAAAAGAGAGCTTGAGTGACTGGATAGATGATGGGCCCATTCACCTTGATAGGTAATGTTGGAAGAGGAACCACTTTGAGATAGAACTTAATGCCTTGGATTTGGAGACGGGGAATTTGAAATGTCTTTAGGGGAGAGATGTCCATTGGGCCACTGAAGATGTGAACCTTGAACCTCAGGAGGAAGATCTCTCGGGATATGGATTTGGGAGAACTCAACACACATAGTTGGCAGTTGAATCTATGGGGATAGATGAGATTGGAAGGGCAAGAGGGATATTGAAGGAGCCCTAAGAAATGGTAGCATTTCAGGATGGCCTGAAGACAGGGAACCTAAGGAGGAACTTAGATGTGGCCGGAGGCAAGTTAGGAGAGCCAGGTGTCTAGAAATCCAAGAGGTCCTCGTTCCAGTGGAAGAGATGCATCTAGCTCTCACTCAGGCACATGCAGAGCAGAATGGCACACCTTGAACTCAGTGAAAATTCAAACCCATCTAGGCAGGATCAGGTTCTCTACCCACTAATCCACCACCCTCTGCCTCTTCTCTTAAGAAAGTCCTTGGTCATTCAGAATCCTGTTATAATTTTACATTCCCTCAATAATAGAAACCCACAGCAAAATTAGCTTATAAGTTCCTTCAAGAGATGAAGTATACTTTGTTTTTAAAAAGCCTGTCTAACACATTCTGTTATGACTGAAACAAATGGATAAAACCTAGACTGAAAGGAAACATAAAACACTAAAAACAATTATCTTTGAAATGTGAGTTATGAATGGTGTATATTTTTGTCTTTATTCTATTCTGTATTTTCCTCCAAGAGTCCATAGTACATGTAAGATCTGAAATAAAGGAATCTTTATTTTTACATGGAAGAGCCCGATATACAGACTGAACCTTGTGTAACTGTCTGAAATGAACAATTTACCAAAGACAGACTACACTTCTTGGAACTATGTGGATATCTGGCAAGTGATCTAGTAATTTGTCAAATGTCTGAATTTTTTTAAACCATTTACATAATAAATGTGAATCATCTGAAAAATCATGATCCATATAGAATATCTGAAAACAGGCCATTATGTGTTACTGCGATCACTTGGAGGATATACTTTTTGGTTCTGAGCAAGGATTCTCCAGGGCAATGATCAAGGTCATCACATACAGCTGTGCAGGTTGCACACTGAGCAACTCTGGGAGGAACACATTTTTCTTAACAATATGAATGGAGTCCTATAGAGTTGAGAAGTGCACAACCTGCCCAAACAAGCAGTAGACCTAGTGATGATCAGGTGACATTTTAAAGACCTAATCTGCCAAAATGTTAGATCCTCCTAATGGAATACATTACCAAAGATTTGGCTATGAAAATATTACAAACTTGCAAAGTGCTCCAAACGTAAACAATGTAGGATTTTTGTTTAATGTTTATTGTTGCCATGGAATATTATGATAAATTTTTAAAAATTTTTTTAAAAAGGATAATTCATTATTTATTACACTTTTATTTTATTCACTAAGGACCAGTTTCAGTTTCCAAGAAAAGTGTGTCGTATGTGCTGAGCAAGGAGGGAGGTGGAAACATTTCAGTCATTGTCCTTGGGGGTGCGGAAGAGTCACTGGACGCCCATCCTGGAAGATTCACTCTGTTCATCCGCCAGCGGAAAGGATTTGTTAAAATTGCTTTGACCCATGGGTAAGTGGCTTTTTGTATAACATAGCTGGGTCAGGAAAATTAAGACATTATTAAATGAGCACAAAGAAGTAAAGTGATTTTCTAGTCCTTAAAGACCTCCTCCAAATCAGTCTTACAATAAAAGCAGGTATGGATATTCTTGGGTAACAGACTATGTCATTTTTAGTAAGGTAGCTCAATGCCATGGGATTCTGCAATTAAACTTAACTATAAAAACAAAACAAGAAACGACAAGAAAAAAAAAAAACAATCAAAATGTTTCACACACAGTGTAAATTTCCTGCCTAATGAACAAAAAAACAGACAAAGCTATAGATGAAAGAGAAGCTTCCTAGAGCCTTGATTTTCTATAAAATAAAACTTCATCAATGGCTAGCCTGCCAAAGTACCTCCCCAAAGGATTTCAGGCCTAAGGCAGTTTCAATGTATTGCACGTGAAATTAGCAATATAGGGAGGCTTGGGCAGATTTAAAAATGTTTAGGAGTTTGTTGTAAAAGTCAGCTAGACAGAATAAATCATTTAAATCCTTTTCATTTAAAATTCTTATTCTTCCCTTTGTTATTTACAGCGCACATTTGGTCCCAGTGTTTTCTTTTGGTGAAAATGAACTGTTCAAACAAGTTCACAATCCTGAAGGCTCATGGATTAGAACTGTTCAGGAGGCACTGCGGAAGATCGTGGGGTTTACTTTGCCCCTCTTTCATGCCAGAGGAGTTTTTCAGTACAGTTTTGGCCTAATGCCTTATAGGAAACCTATCCACACTGTTGGTATGTACATAAAATGAGTAAAATTACTATCTTACTTTAAGCAATGTTTACTGTTACCGATTAAGGTACTAATGCAAGAGAAGTGGCTTTGAGGAAGAAGTTCCTGTAATAATAATCCTGTAGATGTTATTTGAGTTTCATTTACAGTGTGCCATTTATTTATGAAATAACTACATTTTCCACTGGAATGGGAATTGATTACTTTCAAGAATAGTGCTATTGAACTACAGATAGAATCCAATGTTAGAAATAGTTTCTAATATTCTATAATGGATCCATTTCTCTGTGCTAGCAGATTATAACATAACAATTTGTTCTTTTTGAGACAGAGTACAGTGGCATTGTCATAGCTCACAGCAACCTCAAACTCTTGGGCTCAAGGAATCCTCCTGCCTCAGCCTCCTAAGAAGCTGGGACTATAGGTGCTCAGCACTGCATCTGACTAATTTTTCTATTTTTGGTAGAGACAGGGTCTTGCTCTTGCTCAGGCTGGTCTTGAACTCCTGACATCAAGCCATCCTCTTGCCTTGGCCTCCCAAAGTGCTAGGATTATAGGCGTGAGCCACCGTGCCCAGCCATAGCAATTTTTTGATGACAGGTCACATCAGAGTCTATAAATAGATGAAAATTCCTATATAGTTGTCTTCCTCATGTTCTTCACATTGGCATCAGTTTCTATAGCAAGTGCATTTTTTTTTTTTTGATTTTTTTTTTTTTTTATTTTGGCATATTATGGGGGTACAGATTTTAAGGTTTCAATAAATGCCCATTCCCCCTCCCCCACAAAAGTCTGAGTCTCATCATGACCATCCCCAGATGGTGCACATCTCACTCACTATGTATGTATATAACCGCCCCCCTCCCCCTCCACTGCCTCAATACCCTATTACTGTAGCACCTATGTGTCTACTTAGGTGGCTACTCAGTTAATACCAGTTTGCTGGAGAATATATCTGGTGCTTTGTTTTTCCATTCTTGGGATACTCACTTAGTAGTATGGGTTCCAGCTCTAACCAGGAAAATATAAGGTGTGCTATATGCACATTGTTTCTTAGAGCTGAATAGTACTCCATGGTGTACATATACCACATTTTTTAATCATTCTTTGATTGATGGGCACTTGGGTGTTTCCACAGCCTTGCAATTATGAATTGTGCTGCTATAAAACATTCGGTGCAGGTGTCTTTTTGTGTAGAAGTGTCACTGGATCATTTGGATAGATGCCCAGCAATGGGATTGCTGGATCAAATGGTAGATTCACTTGTATCGCTTTAAGGTATCTCCATATTGCTTTCCACAGAGGTTGAACTAGTTTGCAGTCCCACCAGCAGTGTAGGAGTGTTCCTCTCTTTCCACAACCACGCCAGCATTTATTGTTTGGAGATTTTTGATAAAGGCCATTCTCACTGGGTTAAGTGATATTCATTGTGGTTTGATTTGCATTTCCCTGATGATTAGAGATGTTGAGCATTTCTTCATATGTTTGTTGGCCATTCTTCTGTCTTCTTTAGAAAAATTTCTGTTCAAGTCCTTTGCCCACTTTTTAATGGGGTTATTTGATTTTTTCTTCCTAATTTTCGTGAGTTCTAAGTATATTCTAGTTATCAGTCCCTTATCGGATGCATAGGATGCAAAAATTTTCTCCCATTCTGTAGGCTGTCTGTTTACATTCATGACTATTTCTTTGGCTGTGCAGAAGCTTTGTAGTTTGATCATGTCCCATTTATTTATTTTTGTTGCTGCTGTGATTGCCTTTGGGGACTTCTTCATAAACTCTTTGCCCAGGCCGATGTCTAGGGAGAGTGTTTCCAACTTTTTCTCTCTAGAAGTATCTAATGTTTCATATCTTAGGTTTAAGTCTGTTATCCAGCGTGAGTTGGTTTTTGTGAGAGGTGAAAGGTGTGGGTCCTGTTTTAGCCTTCTACAGGTGGCTATGCATTTATTTTTTTACTACTAGCTATATTTATATGTATTCTAATGTAAACTAATTTTATTTTAAAAAATTGCATGTTTAGGGGAATTCAGAGGGGGCTAGAAGGTGAAGATCATGTTGCTGAAAGGACATGGAAGGGAACGTGAGAGTGAAAATGAGAAAGTGCTGAGCAAGGTGCTAATAGCAGAATGAACAAAACTATAAACTTTATTTATTTATTTATGTTTTTAAAATTAATTAATTAATTAATTATTATTTTTGGTTCTTTATTTTTTGAGACAGAGTCTCACTCTGTTGCCCGGGCTAGAGTGCCATGGTGTCAACCTAGCTCACAGCAGCCTGAAACTCCTGGGCTCAAGCAATCCATCCTGCCTTCAGCCTCCCAAGTAACTGGGACTACAGGCATGCACCACCATGCCCGGCTAATTTTTTATATATATTTCTAATTGTCTGGCTAATTTCTTTCTATTTTTTTTAGTAGAGATGGGGTCTCTTTCTTGCTCAGGTTGGTCTCGAACTCCTGAGCTCAAGGGATCCTCCCACCTCGGCCTCCCAGAGTGCTAGGATTATAGGCGTGAGCCACCGCACCTCACCCAAACTATAAACTTTATATGAAACTGGAAGTAGTATTTTCACCATGACTAGCCCATTAAATGAAATTCAAATATAGTCAAATTTTTTTTAGGTCTGTTTCCCTCAACTAGGATTTTACTACCACCGGTTCATAAGAGCTTTGCATTAACTGGTGGTCACATGATGGTATTTTTAAATGGTATGTTTAATGCAAATGGAATATTAACAGACTGCCGATCAGTTAGCGTAATAGGAATACTGAGATAAGTTTAAGTTTGCGATTATATTTTTCAAGATAAGCTGGTTATACTTCTTTGGCATAACATTAATTAATCATTTTTGATCTCTTATATGCAAAGCACTAGTGTTGGGTTTGGGGGTGACATAAAGTCAATTGTAAGGCATGATTTTAGGAACTAAAAGTTTGATTAAATGTAACTCATATGTTCACATGAAATAGGTTAAATGTTAAAAGTATATTCTATTGACTTAAATGATTACAGTTATCACGTGGTTAGATTAAACTTTTTAAAAAAAATTAAGTGGTTTGCCATTTGAGTAAAGTCTTTTTATACCTCTACTGACAAATACTTAATTGGTCAAGGGTCAGTGGAATTACTGAATCTGAGTTATTTGTCAAGATTGGAAAACAACAGCTCTTATTTGCACTCATGCTTGTCTAATGTGCTTCTCTTACCAATTTAGAATAAGGGAAATTGCTTCAGTCTCTCCCTCTACTTACCTAACCCCAAACAATTACAATGATTTCTAGTCTGTAGCATCCTCAGAATCCCATCATTATTTGAAACATTAAAAAAAAAAATCAAGCTGAGAATATGTACGTTTTATAAAGACTCAGTTGTCATAATGTGGGGTGTAAGAGTGGGAGTCAGATGATTTAGTGCACCCTGATTTGTGAGAACCGGACACCCAAGACCATATGTATTTAAAAACTTATTTACTAGAAATAACACAAGTTGAAATGACAACTTATTTACAATTCCATAAACAAAAGTAAAGCCATGTGTCAATCAAATGCCACAGAGAATAAAACACAAAACAATACCGGAATAGTGATGTAAATGACTGTGTTTGTGTCTATTTTGAATCAATGCACTTGAGACCCAGAGTTGCCTCTTTGCTCACTCCCTGACATGAGCTATCCTTGTTCTACCCCAGGTAGGATTCCGGCAGCATCTCAGAGCAGCAAGTTCTTTTGTGGTCCCTCTGTTCCATCTTCTACTTTACTGAGCTTATTAACTTAAATAAGCTCTACCTTCCTACATCATAGGAACTCAATAACTGTTAGTTGGACTCATCCTAAATTATCATTGTAGCTATAATCCTCTCACTCACCAGTGTCCAGAGAAACCCAGACTCTCAGACCACTCTTCCGTCAGGGACCTCAACCAGAGAGTTCATTTCAGAGTTGATAATTCTTACCAACACTAGACTCTGGAATGGTTTTCTGTGTTTGTGTCCTATTGATTACATCCCCTTAAAAACATGATCTCACTAAATGCAAAGTGCCATATTCAGGTCACAGTTACTCTCCCTGTGTATTTCTTACACCCTATCTTGCTAAGCCATCAGGTTTTTGTGCATCCTCCATCAAACTTTTCTTTTCTCTTTGCTGAGGGGTATTCATTCGCAATGGGCATAATTTGTAAAGAAGCTGCCACTGTACATATTTTCTTCACAAGTAGTATGTACGTATTTTATGAGTGCTGTTATTACTTTATCATAATACAATAAAATGTTCATATGCACTGTATTTCATTACATAATAATGGAGAGAAGCTGGTTTAAATGTCATATGCATCATGACAACCAGGAGTGAGGACTAAAATAAGTTTAGATTTTCAGAAACTGCTTGAAGACTCACAGTTGCTTTAGGGCATGTTGCTTTTTTTGTTTCTGTACTACAGAGCCCCTGAGGGCGGGGAGTTTGTCTTGTTTATTCTGTCTGGTCCCAGTTCCCACAGAGTAGGAGTTTAAGAGACATTTGTGAATAAATAAATTAGTGTTTTGTTATGCTTGTCTGATTGTAATTCTTAAGTTTTTTTTTGGAAATCTAACAAGTACCCACATGAGAAATTTTAAGGTAAATTAATAAATTCAAGTATTAGAGCCAGTACAGGGGTATGACTATTTACTCCTAATTGCTTTTATGTATGTCTTTTAAGAATAAGATCATTTTCTTCCATAACATGAGTACAATTCAGGAAAATTAACATTGATAAAGTACTATTAAATAGTATGTAGTATATATGCAAATTTTGTTAATTGTCTCAATAATTTCCTTGCTAGCAGTGTTATTTTTTTATTTTTTTTGGTTGGGGGGACAGATATTTTTCACCCTGAGCTGGATTATGTATTACATTTCATTTTCATATCTCTTAAGCCTCCTTGAAGCTGAAATTGTTTTTCGACCTTTCTTTTATCTTTATGGCATGAACAGTTTTGAAGAGCATAGGTCAGTTGTTTTGTAGAT